AGGCTAAAACAAGAGCGTGGATCGTGAAGCTCTAGACAGATGAAATTCTATGGCCCAAGCTCAGGTAACTTTAACTTTGAGTGAGAGCTAGAGTTTAGATGAGTGGAGAGGAGAAGGTGCTAAGTTTGGGTACAAACCAGTCTGTACTGAATAGTTTTCTTTTATATATACCTTTTTATATATCTTAGAATACTGTCCTTTTCCTTTGTGAACAAATCCAAGAAAATATATTCTTGCATTTTTTTTATTGGGTGAAAAGGGTCTTTTTTCCCAAGAAAGAGCAAGCGAATGGCTTTAAGGTACGACAGGTTACTGAACCCTGGAGACAGTTGGACCCAGAAACCAAACATAGTGCCTTAAACATAGCAGGTGCCTAGTAATATTTGGTGAATTGAATTAAAAGAATAAGCTAGAAAGTAAACAAGATTTGGAGCAGCTAGGTAGTACAGTGGATAGAAAGCCAGGCTGGGAGTCAGGAAGACATCTACATGAGTTCAAATCCAGCCTCCTAGCTGTGTGACCCTGGGCAAGTCACTTAACCCTGTTTGTCTCAGTTTCCTCATCTGTAAAATGAAGAAGGAAATGGCAAATCACTCCAGTATCTTTGCCAAGAAAAACCCCAGTCCTAAAACCCGTTGAGAGCAGGGTAACTCAGCTCAACCAGGGTTACATTTCTCCCCTGGGCCAAAACTCTTTGTAGTTCCTTGCAAAGATCACTTAGAACCTACCTGTACAGGATAAATACAAACATCAGTCCTTAAAAACAACAAGGATGATTTTCCTGGTGTCCCAGGTGACCAACCGTAGGCAACATTGAAACTGAGATAAACCAAATGCACATTAACAGAATATGCGGTAGATATGGTACTATAGTGCCTAGCTACATACTAGATATATAACATGCACATCCATAATACATGGCATAATAATAATAACATCTGTAATACACAGCATAATATGTGCATTTCCATAGTACACAGTACTAGAATGTACAAGCATATCCATAATACACAGCGATCAATGAAAAGCAATTAGCATGGATAACTAACAAAGTAATGCTGGCTGGCTAGCTGCTCTAATAACACTATCGATAGGCCTATACATAAAGTACAGTTTATCTATAAGCAGTAGCATATATACAACGTAATTAACAAAACAGACCTTTCATAGCATGAACAGAACGTAGTCACATAACAGCAAATTAAAAATAAATAAATAAAAACTCAAACATACAATAATTCATAGCAAACACACAATTATATGCAAGGCACATTTTACATGAGGAATCTCTAGTATTGCTTAGAGACATGCGCAACTATATCTATCAGGTCTACCTGGAACATCGTAACTTAGCCTGGTAATAGGCCTAGTTCTCCTCTCACTGACTGATCTCTCAACTCCTATATATGCCAGAGCTTGTATCTACACCTGGGCTGGCAATCTGTATTTTCAAGCTATGTGGGTTAAATCTGTACCCTGAGTCTTTACCTCAGGGTTTATTTCTCCTGTTCTGTAGTAACACATAGTTTCCTTCGCTGGGTGGATTGTTTTTAATGCTCATATCTGGGTCACAAAGTCTTTGTACAACTGCCGGACTGTCTCTTTTCCTCAGCCTTTGTCTAGGTGAATGTCCATCAATTCTCTCTACCTGCTCAGTAGAAAGTCCAGCTGACTCTTCTATGGGCAATAGGTAGTTGTGGTGAATAGTTCTGATAGCGCTCCCTCTATTCTCTGGGGCTACACAGGCCAAGTTTGTAAAAAGGCAAGTTGACCAGTCTTTGAATTACTTTGTATGGTTTAGCGTTCTATCAGTCAGTTAACTTGTGAGTCCCTTCAATACTAGGGCTCCTCCTGGATGAAGGTCTTGATACCATATTTTGGTATCATAATGTCTTTTGTTTCTGTCACCAATCTTCTGAACTGAAGCTGTGGCTAATTAGTAGGCATTTCTCAGTTTCTCCTTCAATTAAGAGATGTACTGAGTGTAAATAGTCGTATCACCTCCATCTGAGGTACTGAACCACAAATTAATAGGCAGGCATGGTTCTTGTCCAAACATGAGCAATTATGGTATACAGCATGCAGCACCATTCCTGATGGAATGGTACGCACGTCCTAGAAATGAGACATGTTGACTCCAGCAAGCCTTTTGTTCTCATGTCAAAGTCCCCGACATATTCGACAATGCAGTTAAGTTTTCAGGCTTCTGAAGGAAAAGACTTGAGAGGAGCTAGCAGTATCATCACGTCCCTATCTCCTGTAGCTACACTAGAAACTTTGGGAAACTTCTCCCATGGGTGAGATCGAGGACTCTTTCTCAGTAGAGCTGAGTTACCTTGCTCTCAAGGGATTTGGGGACTTGAGTAACACTAACAATTTTGTGTCTTATTCTAGTCTAAATTTCATTGATCTCCAGACCCTTCCTTCAAGTTACAAAACCTCCTCATTTCTTGGTCTCTGGAATCAAGTAGACCCAAGATTCAGTGACTTGTCATACCAGATCCCCTGCAATGAATACCAGATTTATTACTATATTTACCCTTCATTGGAACTTATCTTGGGGTCCAGATTAGCTTTCAGGATCTTAAATAAGCTGACAGCATTGCAATACCTTCACTGAAAGGAGTGAAAGCAAGCAGTATGTTTTGTTTTGTTTGTTAATGAAAAAGAAAAGAAAACACAAACACATCTGAAGGGAAAGTGGATTTTCGGGGGCAGCTAGGTGGTGCAGTAGATAGAGTTTTGGCCTTGGAGTCAGGAGGACTTGAGTTCAATCTGGCCTCAGACACTTGAAACTTACTAGCTGTGTGACCCTGGGCAAGTCACTTAACCCTGATTGCCTTACCAAAAAAAAGCAAAAGAAAAGAAAGTGGATTCTCAGGGATCTGGACAGACTTTTGAGGGAATATGTAAGCTGCTAGGTGGTTTGATTTAATTTTTTTTTTAACCAAGACATCCTTTCCGACCTCAGCAGGTCTAATCATCAAGATCAGTCCAGGTATGCCAGTGGGTTTCTGTTGGATTTTAGCTGGAGCTTGACAGAAAAAGAGAGCTTCATATTTATGCTTTGGAACCACCAAACTTACCTTCCTTCTTGGGACACAGTTCTGCCTTTTCCTCAATCTCCTAGTGGCCAGTTCATCCTTCTAACCCAAGCAAAGAAGCAGGTAATTTGGGCAGTAGGGTTCACTTTACAGGCTAGGCTAATGACCTCTTACAGGCTGAGAAGATTTCCATGTTATTGGCTTGGTGCCCCATGTTGAAAGTTTGTTAGAGATGTGAAATGGAAACCTCAATCTGCAGAACTACTCAGGGCCACATAGCCCTAGACATTCTCTGCCCTGAGCAGTGAGGCAATGGTCTACCACCCTGGGGAAAGATGGTGTGGCTGTTGTCCAGTCCTGGATGTTGGGAATGGTTAGACTTAATAAGATGGTAAGGTTTGGGGCAGTTGGGGTGGGGATGATGTGTGATCATGTAATAGAAAGAACATTGGATTTAGAGTTATTAGACCTGGGTTCAAATCCCAACTGTGCTACTATCTCTGTAACCTTAGGCAAGTCACTTAAATAGCTTCTCTGGATCTCAGTTTCATTCTAGGTAAAATTAGATTGGACTCAATGACCTCTGAGATTCTTCCAGCTTTAAATCCTATATATATAAATCTTACAAAGCCCTATAGGAAGCCATCCCCTTTGAGTTGAACTTTGTTTTATTTAGGTGAATGGAAATCTTTTTTTAAAATAAAATTTTATTGGTATCTCTTATTATTACATCACCTGCATTTCCCAGTGGAACCTCCTCCCAGAGATTCCATACCCTGTTGGGCAGCTAGGTGGTGTAATGTATAGAGCACTAGGTTTGGCATCAGAAACACCTGAGTTCAACTCTGCCCTCAAACATTTACTAGCTGTGTAACCTTGGACAAGACGCTTAACCTCTGTTTGCCTCAGTTTCACAACTGTTAAAGGAGGATAATAATAGCACCTATCTCCCAGGGTTGTTGTATTAACTGAGATAATATTTATAAAGCACTTAGCACATAATCGGCAATATATAAATGCTAACTATCATCATTATTATTATTCTCTAGCTACTTAAGCCCCTTGAGAGTCATAACATTATAGTCTTTAGAGCTGGAAAAGGGCTATAGAAATCATCCGGTTCAATCTCTGTTTTACTAATGGGCAAAACTAAGGCTCACAGAGTATGAGAGATTTTCCTCAGGTCACACAAGTGGTTACTGGGTTCAGCCCAGTTTTGCTTAAAGGGTTAATGACCAAGATGTAAAAACAAAAGGCAGCAATAAAATTTATTTAAAATAAACAACAACATTAGGTTAGAAGATTATCTGTAAGGCCCCGACTAGACGAGATGGGGCAGTTTTGGACTGATCTCAAGCTCAGGAACTGTTATTGCTTTTCTTTGCCTGGCACACAGTAGGCACTTAATAAATGCTTGTTGATTTGACTTGAACTAAGAAGGTAGAGTGAGGCACAGTTCTAGAAGGGTAGCCCCCTGCAGTTACTCTTCAAGGAAAGCCTCTTTCTTCAACTGTCCAAACCTCCCTATCCAACAGCTGTCCTAGGACGCCTCCCTCCCACACCCACCCTCACCCCCTCCCCGCCTTTTGTTAAAGTAATTGATTGGCCTCAGTTTGCTCAGCAGCCCCTGGAACTCCACTCTTGAGCCTCAGTTTTTTCATCTCTTGCCCTAATAACACTTGCACCTTCTATGTCAGAGTGGTGAAGAAAGCTTTTTTTTTTTTATTAAGATCATGAAGCGCTCTATGAATGTGGGTGGTTATTTTCAGAATACTGGCTGTAAGGAAATCCATCTTCTGACCTTCTCTGATAGTGGTAGCAGAGAGACCTTCAGAGACAGCTCAGGGACTCCGATTGGAGTATCTAAAGTGGCCCCTGACTTACCTTTCACGGCCAATCAAAGGCAGCCAGAATTGGGGTGTGTGCATGGCGCGGGGGCGGGGGGAGTGGAGGGAGTGATAAAGGAGAGTTGTTTTGGTGCTGCGGTTACCAGACTGACAAAGCTCAAGTACCTTTTCCTCCGAGCCCCCACCTGGGATCGTTCCCTCCACCTCCCCTTCTGCCTTCCCCATAAACCGATTAAGGAACCTGGTTTACTGCATTTCTTCTGGAGGGCGACTGCTCTGCTTTTTTCTCCGTTCTTTGTAAAGCTCTGATCTCCCTGTGACTGGCTGTCGACCTCTTTGCTTTAATGCACCAGACCGTGAGAGGAAACCTCGCTCATCTCTGCGCTCGGGAAACAAGTATCGACTATGCCTTGAACCACCCGAGGATTGATCCTATCTGTAGGCTCTCCTCACTTTCCTCTGGCTCCCCAGCCATCTTAGACATTGTTTTTCTGCGTTGTTGCCTTCGGTCAGCTCCCCGGAGCTACTGGATTCAGGGAAGTTTTGAGGAGGGGAGGGGGAAATTCCTCTAAGATAAAATGTTCGCTTCCAAATCCAATTCAGTTTCTCCCTCCCCTTCCATGGAACAGGCAGATGCCGATGCCCTGGACATCAGCACTAAAGTGCAGCTGTATGGCGTGCTCTGGAAGAGACCCTTTGGGAGGCAGTCAGCCAAGTGGTCCAGAAGGTGCGTTCTGAAGGTGCTTGGGGCTTCAGAGGGAGTGAGAGAAAGCAAGCATGGTTTTTTTCAGGGATGGGGGAGGAGTGGGGGCAGAGGGAGGGAAGGGAAGGGAAAAATGGTTTTCGTTTTTGAGGAATGCTTCTCTTGATCAGGCAATAAACTGGGAGACAAGACACTTGACATTTCAAACTAGCTCTGCCTGTGCCTTGTTATATGACCTTGACGTCACCTTTTTCCGGTCCTCATTTGCCCCTTCTGGAAATTGGTTTCAATATTTGGCAGTCTTTGTCCCTAAGTGTTCCAAGATACTAGAATGAAGAGAATATTAGACTTCTGTTTAGGGGGTATAAGTGGAATTGGTACTTTGATCCAAGGACCAGTCCAAATGCAGACATTTATTAAGCTGTGAATTGGGGTCACCTCATACAGGAGGGTTGGGCTGACAGTACCTCTGCTTTGAGGAGATGGGAGGAGACTTCACCATCTCCTTGTTGAGCTAGAAGAAATTTTGTTGGGGAGAGACCCTCACTATAAAACTGCTTCTGGATTTCATTGACTTCATAAGCCTCACCAGGCACCAATATGCCAGGCTAAGTACGTATTTGAGGGGGACAGACTGGACTAGAGGCATAACTAGAAATTCTGGCATCCAGGGCAAAATCTTTTGGTGGAAGGGTAGTACAGACAGACCTTAGAAGAGGGAGTCAAGCAGATACAGTCCTGCCAGGAGAGATGGTAGCCTGGCCCTTGCCCTGAACCCCATTGGCCCAATATCTCAATGCCTTGCCCTCTCCTGGGGCCTAACTTCACCCTCCAAACCCCATGAGGGCATGGGTCAACAGAGGACTCTGAACAGGGAGGAAAGGGAGAGGATGGTGGTCTCCACAGAAGTATGAGAGAAAGTACTCCCTGTTTAGGTTCCTGGAATGAAGCTGCCCCACCCTAGTTTCAGCTCTAAACTGGACATTTCAATCTTTCCTCTCCTCCCATATGCCCCCAAATTGGGTACTTAGCTCAATCTCTTAGACAAAAGATTAACAAGCTACAATAGTAGGAAGTCTGCTTATGAAAGTAATGCCTTTTTTTTTTTTTGGCTAGGCAGTGGGGTTAAGTGACTTGCCCAGGGTCACACAGCTAATAAGTGTTATGTGTCTGAGGCCACATTTGAACTCAGGTCCTCCTGAATGCAGGGCCGGTACTCTATCCACTATGCCACTTAGCTGCCCCCAAAGTAATGCTTTTAAAAGGCCTGGGATGAAGTATATAGTATATAGAAACTGAGATTAGACTGCCCCCCCCCCCACATACACACACACCTTGACCCTGAGGGAGGGTTTAACAAGAAATCTTTGGAAAGCTGGATGTGGGACGGAAAAGTCCTGTGGAGATCTAAGATTAAGTGACTCTTTTGATCCCTGGAGGCAGCCGGAGAGCTGTCTACTCTTTATTGACCGTATCCAAGTTAGATTAGCAGGGTGTCCTTTCATAGGATCAGTGTTTGGAGATGGCTTTTCTGTGGGGTCAAGAGGCTTTCTTATTGCCAGACTCTGCCTCTTCTTGGCAACTGAATGCAAACATTGGGGTTGTTTTTATTGTTTAGTTGTGTCAGACTCTTCACGACCCCATTTGGGGTTTTCTTGTCTTTCTGGCAAAGATATGAGAGTGGTTTGCCATTCCCTTCTCCAGATCATTTTACAGATGAGGAAAATGAGGCCTAGAGAAGTGACTTGCCCAAGATCTCACAGGTGGGAGAGTAGGGATTCAAACCCACAAACTCTAAATTGCACGTCCTTTCTACTTCATCATGATGCTTCATGATTTCACCAGGGGCAGAGGTGCCCCAGCACAGATTTGCCCCAGGAATCGAGCCCTACTAAGGAATCATCTCACTCCCAGCAAGCTAAGTTTTTGGAGAGTAGAGAAGGGTGAAAGTTTCCAATTTACAGATCTAATCTTCTGGGATTTGGAAAAGAAATAAAAATCATCCCAACATTGCTAGACTTAGACTGGGGCTGTAGAAGAGATCCAGCCTCCCACTTTGTAAAGTGGAGCTGCTCTACTCCCTTCCCTCCCTCCCCATCGTGGACCTTAGCTAATTAGTGACCATAGACAACTGAAATAAGCAATATCATGAGAACAATCAATGCCCTCCTGACAGGGCACTTGTCTTTAAAAGGTTCAGTGCTCTGGGATGTCAGGAGAAATATAAATAACTAATGAGACAAGATGGATCTGGTGGGCTGAGCTTCTCTTTGCAACCATCATCAATCCTCTTTTCTGAAATTGCTTCTGGACTGGTTGTCTTCTTCCTTGCCTACTGAGGATATGTTAGGATCAGAGTGAAAAGGTGACTGTTCAAGGGTGTCTTCATCTTCTCCCGAGACTCACACCCATGACAAAAGCAACTGGCTGCTCCCCTAAAAGCAGCAAAAAAAAGACATAGAGACAGAAAGACAGAGAGACAGAGAGAGAGAGACAGAAAGAGAGAGAGATTCTCCCATCACTGCCCAAGCAGTTCTACATTTGTGGGAACTAGAAGAGGATGGCAAAGGAGATTTCCTGCTGGGAAAAGTTTCTTTTGCAATTCATAGAAAGGTAAGGGCCTATTTCTAAAATGATGGAAGGGTTGGAGGAAATGCTGGGAATTGAAAATATGTTGAATTTATATTTGCATCGTTTATAAAACCCTTTGACATTTGTGAAAGGGCAGCATGTTTTAGTGGAAAAACTACTGCTGGATTTGGGGATCAGAGGACCTGAGTTCAAATCCCCATTTTTGGCCTTCTTTGCTATTTGATACCTGTATGACTTAATTTCTCTGGACTTCAGTTTCCTCATCTATAAAATGAGACGGTTGGACTCCATGACCTCTAAGGTCTCTTCCAGGTCTGAATCTAGGAGCCTGTGAGCTTATAGTGTTGTGAACAGCAGGAGAGGTGGCTACCATTGCAGTAGCAATGGAAGTGGCCTGGTAAAGAAAGCTCAGGAAGAGCATCAGATAAGCCCCAGGCCAAATCAGTGAGTCAGCAGACTGGCTGGGGCTGGGCCAGCTGCAAAGCAGCCTCTTCCTTCATGAATAAGCAGTTCCCAGAGGTCTCTGATTCTGCATTCCCTTCAGGTTCCTGCACCCTCCTCCTGAAACCTCCACAGAGGTAGATAGCATTATCATCTTCCTTCTCCTGTAGTCTAGGAGATGACTATCTGAGGATGCACAAAATGGGATCAGCTTTATTACAACTACCAGAGGGGTGGTATCTGAGTGAAAAGCCCTCTTCCCCGGAGAAAGATTGGAGTTGAAATTTGTTTTAGTGAGAAATAGGGAGGTAGGGAGGAAAGACTTTGGGTGCAGAAATTCTAATCCCAGCTCTGAGAATTAATTGACCTCTGTCTAGTTGCAAAGCTATAATGCTGAGCTTCTTCAAAGGACTGTAAAAAGGACCTGGGTTTTCTTGTAAAGTCCTTGGCCCCTTCTTAGGATGTAATCTTAAATGATTCTGAAGCCACTGAGTCTTGTTTTTTCTTTCACCTTCTAACCTGGCCTCCTCCAACAAACATTGGCTGGGAATTTGATTTGGCTCATGAACATAGCAATGCTAATATGATGGTCGATTCTAAAAATGGGCAGCTAGGTGGTTCAGTGGATAGAGCACCTGGCTTGGAATCAGGAAGACTCATCTTCGTGAGTTCAAATCCAGCTTCAGACACTTACTAGCTGTGTGACCCTGGGCAAGTAACTTAACCATGTTTGCCTCAGTTCCTTATCTGTAAAATGAGAAGGAAATGGCAAACCACTCCAGCATCTTTGCCAAGAAAATCCCAAATGGGGTCACAGATATAACTGATGAATAACTCAACAACAATAATAATAATAATTACTGTTAATACCACTAATAGGAGGCAGCTAGATGGCTCAGTGGATAGAATGCTGTACCTGGAGTCAGGAAGACCTAGTTCGAATCTGGCCTCTTGACACTTATTAGCTGTGTAACCTTGGGCAAGTCACTTAACTTCTGTTTGCCTTAATCCATTGGAGAAAGAAATGGCAAACCACTCCAGGATCTTTGTCAAGAAAACTCCATGAATAGTATGGTCCATGGGGTCACGAAGAATCGGATACGATTGAACAACAAAAATCAGCAGTGATATGAAAGTGGTCTTTGCCTGCTCTCTGTGACACCTCCCTCCCACACCTTCCACTTTGAGAGTTATGTTCTGATTAATTCACAGCTGTTGGTCACACTCTTGGTACTGCTAGGTGAAGCCCTTTGGACAATGATTTGGTAATCCCTTGGAACCCTCCAGAGTAAAAGGATCTGCTATGCTAGGGTTAGATACCCCTAAAGGGATTAACAAAAATAACTAAAGCAGGGAAAGAACAAACACCTCTTTAGGGATAAATCCCAGAGGAGTCTAGTCCTATGAACCCCTTACAGGAATCCTGAAAGAGTGGGACAGAATTCTTTAGTTCTCCTGTTACAGTCCAAACCCCCTAGTCTGACTAGCTCTTTTGTACAATTAAATTCCAGGCCAGGCTTACACATCAAGTGTATCATTGACTGTCTTTGTGGCATGATGAAGGCCCTGCTAAAAGTTGCTCCGTCTCCAAAAATATTTCTTCCATTGGCCTGTTGCTGTGCCTATAATTCCTTCCATTTGGAGTTAAGGCATTAGAGGTTTCAAGTCCACTTTTAAAACTGAAAGTTTTGGGGAGAGAAGGCAAGCTTTAAGAAGGGCAGCTAGGTGGTGCAGTAAATAGTTCACTGGGCCTGGAGATAGGAAGACTCCTTTTCGTGTGTTCAAATCCAGCCTCAGGCACTTTCTAGCTATGTGACCCTGGGCAAGTCACTTAACCCAGTTTGCCTTAGTTCTCTCACTTGTAAAAATGAGCTGGAGAAGGAAATGGCAAACCACTGCAGTATCCTTTCCAAGAAAATCCCACATGGGGTCACAAAGCATCAGATATGACTAAAAAATGACTCAATGACAACAATTATGTTAGTTTGCCTTTTACATCAATAACCCTGAATAACCTATTGGCAAACCCAAAATATATGAAAGTAAGGAAGCAGTTTGACTAGACTTTCTATGTATATGTCTTATGAAAAAACATAGGTGAGAACTGCCCAGAATGAAGAGGTGCGGAGGGCATAATCACAACAAGGAAATTGTGGATCCCTCAAAGTAAATATAGCCTCCAAAAGGCCTTTGTGGAATAGACAAAGAACTATGGTGTACAGGAGGCAGCCCTGTGGCAGAAAGGTCACTGCTTTCTGCTGGATTTGAAGTTAGAAGAAAGACCTGCATTTGAACTAGCCGTGTGACCTCGGGCAGCTCCTCACTGAGCCTCAGTTCCCTTCTCTGTCTAAAAGAGATGACAGTGGCCCTGCTTACCTCGTGGGCATGTGAAACGAGTGCTTTGTAAATTGGCTCAGGACAGACAACTGTTAAATTTTCAGTGAGAGTATTTAAACCATGGAATGATACAAATTTGGGCTTGGTTTATTATTTTGCTGATTGTCTAGAATTAAGAACATGATGGAGAAAATATTAATAATGCAGAATAAACCTGAAAGTGTGTCCTCCATACATTTCATTTCAGAGAGCTGGTTGTTAAAAACCATTTACCAGCACATGCCTGTGTAAAACATTCTTGGTGTAGTCCAGATTTCATGCTGGTCTGGATTGAAATGAAGCAAGACATTAATGGATCATCTAACTGTTAGCAAATTGATGGGTATTTGCTTACTCAGGCATAGAAGGGATACTCAACAGAGACTCAACAAGGTCGATTTTGTAACATCTCGTGTATATGCCTTCTTTCCTTTGACACTGCCACCACCACTGTCATGGCACAGACGCACATCACCTCACACCTACATTATTGCAATAGCCTAATGGTTAGTCTTCCTGCCTTAAGTTTCTCCTGGGTCCAGTTTGTCCTCCATTCAGTGGCCAAACTGATCTCCCTAAAGTACAGGTCTGACCATGTAACCCCCTACTCAATAAATCCAAGTGGCTCCCTATTACTTCTGTGATCAAATATAAAATCTTCTACTTGACATCTAAAGCCCTTTGTAAACTAGCCCTGCCTCCTATCTTTCCAGTTTCCTTACTACTTATGCCCCACCACATGCTCTTTGATCCAGGTCTCCTTGCTGTTCGTCAGACAAGACACTCCATCTCCCAAATCTGGGCATTATCACTGGCTATCCCCTGTGCCTGGAATCCTCTCCTGCCTCACTTCCACCTCCTGTCCCAGCTAAAATCCCACCTTCTGGAGGGAGCCTTTTCTTATCCCTGTTAATTCTAGTGCTTTTCCTCTGTGGATTATCCTGTATATACCTTGTCTGTGCATAATTGTTTGCAGGTTGTCTTCCCCATTAGACTATGAGTTCCTTGAGAGCATGTGCTTTGCCTTTCTGTGTATCTCCAGCACAGTGCCAGGCACATAGTAGGCCCTTAAAAAATGTTTATTACTATTGCCCCTTGATACTGTATTTGTTAAGCCCTCCTCTTTTCTATATGGAAATAATAATAATAGTTAGCATTTATATAGCTAAGGTTTGCAAGGTACTTTACACATGTTATTTCAAAGGTATGTTCACTGTAAGGGCAGGGCTTCCCTATTCCCTGTTCCCTTGCCCCTATTCCCTAGGTCAAGCTTCTTAAACTTTTTCCACCCATGACCCCTTCAGTGTTTCTTAAGCTATAGGTCTTGATCCCATATGGGAACAGGGAAACTGTGTCCATCTGGCTGCTTTAGCCCCCTGAAACAATCCAATCAGTCAATAAGTCACACACACACACACACACACACACACACACACACTCTCACACTCAAGCTTCATGACCTATTTAAATACTACCTACCCTTCCCAACACAAGTCCAACTTCTCCATGAATCCTTTTCCCAGCCACCCCAGTCTTCAGAGATAGGTCTCTTTTCTGGCCTGGTCCTTATCATGTGCCACCTTGGATTATTGTAACCTGGGTGTCAAGTGGGGATCCTAACCCCCTATACTGTTGGCAGTCAAGATAGGATTCTGTCTTTGAGGCATGCCTAATAGCTCATCTCATTAGTTTGAACCCCCACCCAAAATCTCAGAGAAAAGTTAACATAATCTAGTTTATTTCTAGAGTGGTTGAGTCAACCCATCAGCTCGCTAACAACCAAGGCAAACGTTGGTAAGCATTTTTAACTTAAACATATTTATTACAAAACAGATAAGGAAATAAATGGCCCTTGGACCCAAATCTACTAACAGGGAACAAATTCATATCATCAACAGGAAAAGCAGCTCAAGTTCACTGCAATTAATCTTCACTGTAGCAAACTCGATGACATGTATAGGTTCTACTTATCTGCCAGACATTTCGCTTGTTTCAGGTGATTGCTGTTTCCATAGCTGCTGTCTCTCAGGTGCACAATGCCATTTGCTGTTGCTACCAGCTACACTCCTGTAGTTCCATAGCTTATCACCTCCTGGCCCAGGCTTCGCATGGAAGCTTTTCCCTTCTCAAGCCTCATGGTTCTCCTATTTCCTTCTTTCCCCAACCCAGGAGCCCTTTATCTCCTAATCATCCCTGCCTGGTGCTTTTGGCCATGCCATATGCTTTTGGCCTATAGAACTTTGGGAGTGTGAGGGTTTGTTTTTTTTCCTACCAGTGCCATGTCGGCTATAGTATACTCTATGTGCACATCCTGTCTCCCCGTGTCTGACTCTTGCAAACTAGAAGAAAAAACAAAAAGACAGGACATTTTCTCCTGCATCTTATGTCACTTATCTTGTTTTGTGTCTCTATATTGACTCCCTTACCAGACTACAGGTGCCTTGAGAGCAAGAATTCTCTTATTTTGTCCACGTATTGCCCACAGTTTCTAGCATACTGCCCTGCACATAGTAGGTGCTTGGTAAATGAATGTTGATAGTGATAGAGATGAATGAGCACACAAAGGAGAACTGAAGTGTAGCCTGGAAAAGCCAATCCAGACTTGAGGTGTTTGGTGAATCAGTTCACAACTGCCACTCACAAACCCCTATCAGTGTGTTTACTTTTTATTTTACTAATGAAAATTTTTAAAAGTTATATATTGAATTTATTGTATACTTAAAAGGAACACCAAGCTGCGTGTAGAGTCTTAGATTCATGTACAATTCTCCTTTTTTCCCCCAAATTCCTCAACTTTTAAAAAAATTTAATTTTTTTTCCCAGTTACATGTAAAAACAATTTGTAGCCTTCGTTTTTTACAATTTTGAGTTCTAAATTCTCTCCCAACCTCCCTCCCCTCTTTCATCACTGAGAAGGCAAACAATCTGATAAAGGTTACATATGTGCAGTCATTCAAAATAGATTTCCACTGTAATCATGTTATGAAAGAAAGTGTGTTTACTTTTATTAGCATGTCAGAGAACACATTTGTTCAAAACCAACAAAAAATTTAATCAGACTGTTTAGTAAAATTACATAGAATAATCCCACGTGCACACATAGGGTATGCTTTCCAATAGCTGCCACATCAGTAGTGAAAATATCTGCTTCTAGGGGGCAGCTAGGTGGCACAGTGGAGAGAGCATCGGCCCTGAAGTCAGGAGGACCTGAGTTCAAATCCACCCTCAGACACTTGAAACTTACTAGCTGTGTGACCCTGGGCAAGTCACTTAACCCCAATTGCCTAAAAAAAAAATCTGCTTATTTTCAATTTCTACCCATTGCTCCAGGGTTCTACCCTATGGGGCCAAACAGAACAAAGTGAAACCCTTCTCCACATGGTAACTTCAACTATTTGAAGATATATCATATCCCCTAATAAATTTTTTCTCCAGGCTAACTAAACATTTCCTGTTCTTTCAGCTGGTCCTCATACGACAGGGACTGAAGGTTTTTCCCCATCTTGGTTGCCCTTTGCTGGATACTTTCCAGCTTATTATTGTCCTTCTTCAACCATGGTTTTAATATGCTCAGAGGTTCTGGGCTGTCTCTTAGAGAAAGAAGCAAAAATGTTAGTAACCTACTGGTACTAGAACATAGGGTTGCTTTGGGGACCAATTCAGTCCAAAATTTCCAAAGTGACCACTTCCGGGAGCTAGGGAGGTATATGGAACCAGTGGAAGATCTTCTCCATCATTCACTATAGCATCAACCCTATTCATTCTCTTGTACCCAAGGTACTTTCTTGACTCTCTTTCCTTCTCCTTGCTCTCTTCTCCCTGGTCCCCACTTCAGGTTTTTCATCATCAAAGAAAGCTTTCTGCTTTACTACTCTGAAAGTGAAAAAAAAAGCTTCGAAAGCAATAAATATTTCAACATCCATCCTAAGGTGAGGCCATCAGTATTTCATGCTTGGAGCTTGGGGGTGTGTGGGGGGGGGATTGGAGTGTTAAAGTGAGGAGAGAAAGAATGTAGCAAAGTCAGTGAAGACCCTATGTCCTGGGTTTTCACAATAATGCTGAAGTCAAAATAAGGAAAATGTGCTTTTAATGAAGCTTTGCAAAACTAGTAGACTTTGCCAGACCATGTGTCCTGGTTTTGTATTTGGGTAGGAGAATAAAAAAGGTCACCATGGATAAAGTGGACTTGGGTCTAGGTAGGATCTCATACTTGAAGCAGTTTGAGATCAGGGAGTCAGGGAATCTCTGAGAACTGCCTAGGAACTGGGAACCTGTCTGACCTAAGGAATAACTGAGTCAGCTAAGTCCTCCTAAGATAGGGAAGCTGACCAGGGGGCTGAAATAGGGTATATTAGGCTTCTTCCTCAGGTGTCCCCTCCCTTTACTATTAATAACTCCGATTCTCTTCCCAAGGGCCCTTCTGTCTGGCTTCCAGTCTAAGGTCTTTAGGGTAGGGTACTGTGTCTCAATAGAATACCTCAGTCAGTCTGACTCCAAGACTGAAGTGGGTCATATATTCTGATTGTCCACTTAGGGTGTCATACCTCTGGGAGGCTGTCTGGTAGAAGCCAAAGAAGAGCCCAACATGCCCTATGCCATGAAGATCTCTCACCAGGACTTCCATGTGAGTAAAGCTTCCTCTTCCCTGGCTTCCCAGGGTGGGGAATATAAGAAGACCAACTCCTATGATATCCTCCAGACCTATAGATCAGGAACCACTCAGACAATACCATTGGCTTCCATTTGCTCAAAAGGTACCCAAGGGGTTTGTGGCCTACTGATTGTATCTGAGATAATTAACTGAGGACTATTGGTGGATTAAAGAAGGGCTATGACCCTCTCATCCTCTTCCTTTCTTGGGCTGCCAAACATTCCCAGCCTTGTCACTGACCCGTCTTGAGAATAGACAACATTACCAAAATTTCCTTTGTTTTGGAAGCTGTGTTTTCCTGTGTTTTGAAGGAATGTGGATGCGTGCCAAAGGGTATTTATTGCACACATATGCCTCTGACAAGGAGATAGTAGAAAGGTATTGTTCTTTGCCCATATGAGCACTGTTAAGATCCAGCTGTGTATGGATAGTGGAATATTGTTGGGTTTTGGAGGGTGGTGTTTATATGGACTTGAAGTCCTTTGGGAAGGCATAGACTACAAGCAGGAACAGACCCTTCTGTCAAGAGGGTACTTACTCTGTAAGTATTTGGCTACTGTCCTTGTTGAGTGCAAGGACCTGAACTGCCCACACCAGTATGGAAGAGGGGAGAGCTAGGAGAAAGGAGACAATGATGCTGAGCCTCTCTGATGTGCACTGGCTCACATGGGCCAAACCCAGTGTCTCCTCCTGCCTTTGCTTTGTCGTTCCCTCAGGGCAACATCGTGCTGGCTGCAGAATCAGAGTTTGAACAGATCCAGTGGCTGGAGATGTTGCAAGAATCTGGCAAAGTGTAAGTCTCTGGGATGATGGAGGAAGATGGTGTCCAGGTAGGGTAGGAGGAAGGTGGCAGCTTTGGGGGAGGGGAGACAGAAAGCCTTGCGGAGGAGGAGCTGGGATCTGCCAACCATGAGCTTACTGCTCAACCTGGCCTCCCTACCACTCGTAACTTCACAAATGGTCCTGGGTCCCACAGGAAGCTGGAGAGGTTGTATTGTGCATGAAGATAGAGGTAGTAAGGAAGAGGTGAAAAAGCTTCTCAGGGAGGAGAGGAGACAGGAAGGCCTGGTGGTATAAGAGGAAGCAGAGGATAGTCCTCTCTTGCCATTCAGAGAACTTTCAGAAGCCACAGACCCTCAAAGACCCTAGAGACCAGAGCTGAGAGACACTTTATGTGAACACAGTATTCAACTCCTCTGGCCTGACACAGCTGCCTGCTGGCCCCTTGGATGAGCAGAGCCATAGTTAAGACTTATTTTTTTTATTTTTGCCTCTGACCATGATCACAAATGCTTCTTGGAACAAAAAGCATAAAAGGTGGCTCCATTTGAGGGAGGTAGGGAAGAGAGAGATCCTGATGTACCAATTCAAGGTCACTGCTGGGAGGGTACTATTTGGAGGGGCATGGGAAGAGGCAGAAATCATGGGATTCAAGCATGGAGCATGGTGTGTGTGTGGGGGGGGTTAGTGAGAGGCAGTTTACTCACTATAACATACCACTTGGCAGCATAGTATACTAATTATTTTTGTTAACTAGATGCTAAACTTTGTTTTTACCTTAAGGCAAAGCCCCAGTTACTCAATCCTGGTTTGGCTTTGAGATTGAACCCTAGGGAGAGCTAGGGTTGGTGCTTTCTGAATCAGATGCTCCAGACCATGGAACACCCCCCATCCTAAGATAGTCCCCTCCTCTCTGGCTTAGATTCAGAACTTGCAAGTTTCCAAGTCTATCTTCATTCAAATCTCTCAGTCCTAATTCCTCACCACTCAGGCTGAGGTCAGCCTGAGAAAGAATTTCTTAACCACGATGTCTTAAAGTCTTAGTACAGTTTTCTGTGTGTTCATGTGTTGCTTACACTGGGAACACAATGCCACAACTTTACCAATAGTTACTATAAATTTATTTAGTTAGTTTTCAACATTTACTTTTATAACATTTTGAGTACCAATTTTTTTTCTCCCTCCCTCCCTCCCCTCCTCCTCCTCTCTCCCCTCTTCCCAAGATGACAAACAATCTGATCTAGGCTATACATTTACAATCATATTAAACATTTCCACGTTAGTCATGTTGTAAAAGAAGAATCAGAACAAAAAGGGAAAACCATGAGAAAGAAAAAAACAACAAAAAAAGTGAAAATAGTATGCTTTGATGTGCATTCAGACTCCATAGTTCTTTCTCTGGATATTTACTGTCAGTTACCATGATGGACCCAGTTCCTGCGTGCTAGGTGAAATACGTAGAAGACACTAGCTCTTGGCATTGGCAAGATGGCATTCTGAAAGAAATGTGGTGGACATATGCAAATCATGCCTTTTTTTTTTAACGGTCTTGGACATGTTTCTCTTCTATCTCTTCCTATCTGCTCTCCGTCCTCAGGACTTGGAAGAATGCCCAGCTGGGAGAAGCCATGATCAAGAGTCTAGAGACCCAGGGTCTGCAGTTGGCCAAAGAGAAGCAAGAGTATTTAGGTGACGCTTTGATTTATGGTGATGCTTTGGGGCTTTTATGGGCTGTTTCCCATAATTGCAGCAAATTGTGATCACAGTGGATGTGTATTTGGTCTATGTATTTGGTGTGGCAGTAATGGCAGAATATAGTAACAATCTGGGTTATATGGGCAGGGAAAACCCAAGGACCAGTGTTTAACTTTGAGCACTTTGAAGTACACTGAGACACCACCTTTAACCTGCAGCAAAGAGATAATTTCCCCTTGTTCTCAAAACACAAATAGGAAGAGCTACCCTGCCCCCCCTTGCCTGGGCATATTTTGGTCCACAGTTTCAAATTAAGGCCTATTTAGGTTTTAGTCGCATGTTTTTAGATCCTTATGTCAAGGCCTCCAACAATAAGATATCTTTATCCGTGTGACCCTCGGCAAGTCACTGTGCCTCAGTTTCTTCATCTGTAAAATAACAGCACCTACCTCACGTGGTTGTCATGTTGGTTAAGGTATGGCTTTGGGTGGTACCATCCTTTAAGTAGATAATATCTCCCATGCTAAGTTCTGAAACAGAAGCAGCTAATGGATAGAGTTCTGGGCCTGCCGTCAGGAAGACCTGAGTTTAAATCTGGCCTTACACACAATCTTTGCCCTCGCTCCCTGGATCAAAACAGAGAAAATAAGGAAAAATAAGAATGTACTCAGTGCCCAGGTATGCTGGGCCAGTCAAGGGGGTTGGTTAGCCCTCTGGCTAGAATGAACATTAAGATTCACAGAAGCCTTCTCCAGGGGGGGTTGGGGAAGACAAAATGATCCCTAAAGTCTCATTCCCTCTAGTTCCTGTAATCCTGTGTCTGCCTATGGGGCCAGTCCGTCTGCACCATTAATATCTCACTTTTGTTTAGGAGTGTGTATATTTTTATCATATGCACATATGCTTGCTTTGGCAGACAAACTGATGGAAGAAACTGAAGAATTGTGTCTTCAGAGAGAGCAGAGAGAGGTAGGTGGCTTCTGCGGCTGTACAAAATCCTCCCCTCTCTGTCTTAGGCCTCTCAGTCCACGAAGGCCTTTGAAGCAAAGCTCAGATATTTTCTTGGATGGTTTTCAGCACTAATGAGAGTGGGAAGTAACCCAGGGTAGAGGGGAGTAACCACATGAGAGGACTGTGGTCAAAATGTCTTTTAGCACCTCCTTAACAGAATATGTTAAAGACACAGCACTCTTATTTTATTTTTATTAACTACATGGGAGTTGGGAGTGGGGTGGATGGGTGGAGAGCAACCAGATTTAGACTACTTTCTTACAACTGGAGCCATATAACAATGGAATGGGCTGGTTTGATAGGTAGTGAGGATCCCCATCACTGGAGGTATTGAAGTAGAGGCAAAATCATCCATTCAGCAAATTTTTATTGAATGACCACTGTGTCATTCAAGGCAGTGTAGGGGAAAATAAGAAGGAGGGGGAGGGGGGAAGACCTGAACATCATGGAGCTTATTGGGAAAACAAAATATGTACACGAGTAATTATAACATTTTGAATGTGAATGTGAAAGTGCATTGAGATACAAAAGGCTGTGATAGTTCAGATGAGGAAAGGATTACCTTCAACTATGCACAGCTGGCATGTGAGCTGGATGATAATCTGTATCAGGTGTCACAGAATATATTCTTGCACTGAAAAGAAGATTGGTTCCAAATGACTTCTGACTCCCACCTTCCAGGATGCAGTTTAGAGAGCAAGCAGGCATCTGCCCATGGAGTGACCTGTGCTGTTTCTTACAGACCTCTATAAAATCTATAGCTAACCACCCCTAGAAATTGCCAGATTTCCAGGAATTTGCCCAGGCTGGGAAGGATTATGCAAGTAATATCACTAAGGGACAAGGCTTCCAAGTCTTGGGTGGGGGGTCCTACTTAACTGTTTTCTCTCCTTTCTCTTCTGGCTGTTCTTCCCACCCTCTCTCTAGATAAAAGAGAATGTTTGTCTTGGCCAACCCCCTTGAGGCTCAAGCTTTTGCCCCTTTAGTGTGACTAATGATAACTCCTTACCCATTCTCATTTGTCTCTTGGTTAAGGTCTGGCTTTGGGTGGTACCACCCATTAAGTAGATAATGTCCCCCATGCTGAGTTCTGAAACAAAAGCAGCTATTGAACAGAGTTCTGGGCCTGGAGTCAGGAAGCCCTGAGTTTAAATCCGACCTTACTATATATAGCACTAAACACATTTGCCCTCATCTCAATCTTCTTTGCATACCATGTGCCAGTTTCTTGCCTAGTACCCTGCATTCCAGGAGGTTTTCTGTTCATGTAAAGGAAATTTGGGCAGGTAGGTGGTATATTGGATAAAGCATCAGGCTTCAAGTCAGGAAGACCTGAGTTCAAATGTGACCTCAGACACTTACTGGACAAGTTACTTAATCTGCCTCACTTTCCTCAACTGTAAAATGGAGATAATAATAGCACCTACCTCACAGGGTTATTGTGAGGATGAAATGAGGTAATATTTGCAAAATCACTTAGCACAGTAGCACATATGGGCTATATAAATGCTATTTCCTTCCCTTCCCTCATGTAGTCAAGAAGCAAGGTAGATTAACAATATCCTGACAGACAGATGTGTATGATACAGACATCTCGGCAGGAGGAGAGACAGCCTTATCTATCAGAGCCACGAAATCTGGGGCAGCAGCAGGCTAGAGGAAAATTTAGACAAAACATCTAGGACTCACGCCGTGGAATGAGGGCAGCTGTGGCCTATTTCAGAAAGGCCCCATTTAAGGACATATTGCACTAACTGAGGCCTGGCTGAAATGAAATCCCCATTATGTAGTTTAAGAATGTCAAGTGTATCAACTGTAAGTCCAGATGGTGCCACAGTAGGTTCTCATTTCACTTATCCTGGGGCAGGAAAGAGACGGATAAAAAGTTTCCTTGTTTATATCCTCTTGAATATAGCAATCTCTAGATTTCACATCCAGAATAGTGAGGCAGGATTCCATTCCTGCTTCTGTCACTAAGTCCTATGAACAAAGCCTTTTCTGTGCCCCAATTTTTCTATCTTCAGAATGGGTATACTAAAAATCTCCCTTCCTCAATCTCCAAAATTATGGAGATTGATGAATTTTGTTTTTAAAGTGCTTTGAATCCTTAGAAAGGGACTGTTTCATTTCTTCTTTGTATTAAAAAAAATTCTTTACACAATGCTTGATATATAAAAGGCATTTAATAAATTCAGGTTGAGGGAATTAATGAATGAATGAATGATGATTCCTGTCCTTAATATTGTTTTTATATTCCATCTATGTATTATTCAGTTGTTTTAGTTGTGGCTGACTCTTTGTAACTCCATTTGGGGTTTTCTTTTTTTTTTTTTTGTTAGGCAGTGGGGTTAAGTGACTTGCCCAGGGTCACACAGCTAGTAAGTATTATGTGTCTGAGGTCGGATTTGAACTCAGGTCCTCCTGAATCCAGGGCCGGTGCTCTATCCACTGCACCTCCTAGCTGCCTCTATTTGGGGTTTTCTTGGCAAAGATACTGGAGTGGTTTGCCATTTCCTTCTCCAGCACATTTTTCAGATGAGGAAACTGAGGCAAACTGGGTTAAGTGATTTGTTCAGGGTCACACAGCTAGTAAATGTCTGAGGCCAAATTTGAATGCAGGTCTTCCTGACTTGAAGCCTGATGCTTTATCCAATGTACCACCTACCTGCCCAAATTTCCTTTATGTGAACAGAAAAGGTTCTAGAATGTAGGGTACAAGGCAAGAAACTGGCATGTGGTATGCAAAGAAGATTGAGATGAGGGCAGACAGGTTTAGAGCTATAAGAATGAAATGAGAAGACCATGTGGGGAAAGAACACAGGATTTGGAGTCTGATTTTGGATTCTTGCATTTTGGGTAAGGCACTTGACCTGCTGGACTTCCTTTTCCTCCTCAGTACAATGAGCTGGCACTGCTTATATCACAGGGCTATCATGAAGAAAAGGGCTTTGTAAACCATGAAGTCCTATAGAAATGTCATTTCTTATTGCCTACCTGCCCACCTATGGATTTAGAAGATTTCTGAGACCACTGCCATTACCTCTATGAGCCTCAGTATGCTGAGAAAAGGTGTAGTGTTCACTATATTTATTTTATGAGCAATTCAATTCAATCAACAAACATTTATTAAGTAGCTATTATGTGTCGAGCACTACTGAGGAACTTCCTGTCCAACTCTTCATGACCATAAGGACCATACTGGCCATAGGGTTTTCTTAACAAGGATACTGGAGTGGTTTGCCATTTCCTTCTCCAGCTTATTTTACAGATGAGGAAACTGAGGGAAACCAGGTTAAATGACTTACCCAGGGTCACACAATTAGTAAGTGTCTGAAGCTTGAACTCAAGAAGATGAGTCTTCTCAACTCCAGGCCTGGCACTCTATCCACTGCGCCACCTAGCTGCCGTTTGGGGTTCTAGAATTTCCCCTATTCCCAAACTGCCCTGCCCCAGACCTCAAGGATTTCCAGAATAGCCACTTCATGTCTATGAGTTCTAAGAGCTGTAAAAATGGTTATGGGTGGGGCTGGGAAGAATCACAGGATTTAGAGTTGACAAGAGACTTCAGTCAAAACCTGATTTGACATATACGTACCCCACCACCTTCCCCTCAAAAAACATTCCTGATAAGGATCATTCAGCCTTGGCTTGAAGACCCCCACCCATTCCACTTTCAGACCACTGTAGTTAGTGAGTGTTCCCTAACATCAGGCCTTAATTTGCCTCTTGGCTTCTCGGACCCCCTGCTCCTGGTTCTGCCCTCTGGTTCCACACAGAACAAGGCTTCCACGTGCTAGCTCTTCAAACATTTGAACATGGCTTATTATGTCCCCTCTAAGCCAAACTTAATATTTCCAGTTCCTTCAACTGATCCCCAAATGACAGTCTTTATTCCCTTCCCCGTGCTGGTTACCCTTCTCTGGACACTCTAGCTTATCAATGCCCTTCTTAAGCCATAATGCCTGAGCACAATACAACAGATGAGGTCTGATGAGGGCAGAACACGGAAGGACTGTCATAATTCTGGAAGCAGTGCTTTCCTTAATGCAGCCCCAAATCACATTAGCCTTTTTGACTGTCATATCTCCCTTCTGATTTACCTTCAGCTTTAAATTTCAGGTCACTTTCCGACTGCTAACTGTGCCTCCCCCATCCTGATCCGGAGAGTTGAGGCCACTGAGAAGTGAGATGTTTGTTGGGCTTCTTGTCAAAATTGTCATTCCTGTCAGCTCTCCTGCATATTCCAAGATAGAGATTTTTAGACTTTTTTAAGTCGTTGATACTGTATATTAAAAAGCAAATTGTGAGACCTTGATACTATGATATTGCTAACTCACATTTCATTTGTCAAGTGAAATTTATGAGGCAAATAAAGATAAAATGCAATTTATATCAATCAGTTCATAGTCAACAACCCAGACTTCAGTGCTGGGGAGGGGGAGAGTGGGGGTGGGGGTGGGGAGGCAAAGTAGAATAGGAATCTGAAATAATGATAGTAATAATACTATTACTGATTATAAGAACAAAAGAAAATAGGGCAGCAGTGTTGAAGATGTAAATTGGGGAATTTCTCATGAAATTTCTCTTCCTTTTATGTTTGTAACGTTCTCTCGTGGCTCTCCCAGCACTGGTACTGGTCAGTAGGTTCTCTAGAAGTCAGGATACTATTACTCTCAGGGGTCCTGGGAGTAACTGTGTGTAGCTATTCCATTAACACTCTAGCACACAAACTCCCACTGTTGGGCTTCTCCGTAAGAATCTCTCCATAGACTCAGGTAGGTCTTTAGTATAAGAATTTACTCAAATGCTATAGCAAGAACGATAGTTATAAAGCATCTCCTCACCAGGTAGACTGCTGATGGACTGGATTCAGCAGGTTGCTTAGCCACTGGATTATTGCCAGACTAGACCAGGCAGACCTCTGCTGAGGCTGCCCTGTCCCAGATTGAGTTATTCTC